GTAGCATCTGATTTTCTAACCTGCCAGTGGGCCTGGATCTACTGGATATACGTTCACGGGAGAGTTTACTGCTTCTCAGAATATAAAGTATTTTAGGAGCAACATAAACTCTGGAGGAGACCCATTAAATGATGACTGCTGACCTGGGTTTTCACGGTTGAGACTGAAGCTATCCTTGCATGACCTCAGCCGATGGAAACAAAACCTCAGTCATTAGTTCTGAGAACCTACAGTGAACTATGTCACTTAGAGCTGCAAGCTAACACTGCGGAGATTCAGAGGCTGCATGTGAATGAGCATTAGTCTGGTCCATCTTTGCAGGTAAATCACAGACCCTCCGGCTGAAATCAGGCCTCCCGTGATGGAGAATGCACGTGGATAAGCCTTATGATTGTTAAGAATTCTTTCCTCCTCTGGCTGGGAAAAGATCAAGTGTTGCCCTGGGACTGAGGTTTTGAATCTGGTAACACTCTCTGCCTGGGATTAATTCTCAGTCTGCCTGTGTACTCGCAGGACAGAGGACCCCAGGAAATGTGGTACCACGTTTGCCTTCCAGGTCTTGGGTCTGAGTCTGTCTGAAATCCCACCACCTCCCTGGACTGTCCTGTAGAGAAAGGAGGGTCCTGGCCAGGCCTGCTGGGAACTCTGAGGAGCAGACAGACGCTTCTCTGTAAAAGCACTCCAGTTCCCAAGGGAGCCAGAAAGGCTCTCTTGGCGGGGGGAGGGGGGACATTTAACTGGTCGTCTCCTTTTAAGTGTCTATTATCGCATTGCATTTTCACTTGTCTCTGCCCTGTCTGGCAGGGACTTAAGTCTAATTAAAAGCCTGATATTTTCCAAAAGCAACAAGCAACTTTTCTTTTTCTTTAAACGTGTGAGGACAAGCATGACCAGGGTCCCCAGGGGCCGCAGGACGAGGTGGCCGCCTCCGTTATTCCGGCATCCTCTCCTGCAGGGAGCGTGCCCCAGGGAGCTGCCCAGGGCAGCGGGGTGCCTCTGGGGCCCACGCCCCTGCCCTGCTGGCCCGGGGAGTCTGGCGGGATGCGCCCTGGAGACGCTGTTACCTTACTTATGTGCTCTCTGAAAGACCATTTGTGAAGAGTGGCTCCTGGTGCCCCTGAGTGACTCGCCTCTAACAATCCAGCCAGTGTGTTCCCCCTCAGGGTGGAAAACACTGGTTTGGAAAATCTGGTGACTTTCGGTCTCCTGTGAGTGTGTGTGAACAGACTAACCTCGCTCCTGGCCTGGGAAACCTTCTCTCATTCCAGTGGGCAGAGGCAAGGCTCCCACCTCGGTCACTCCCTGAACACGACACCTCCTACCTCAGTGGCAGATTTATCCAAGTATATAATAATCTGAGCAAGGGAAGTTATCCATTTTCTTTCTCAAAATACTCATGTTTCATAAAACTAGACTATGGTAGGCATAGGGAAGAAACAACTCTGGGCGACAGAGAGTGTATTATAGACAAGGATGGTGCCGGGCTGCAGAGAATTACAGACTGTACCTGCAGCTGTTTCTCATACTGCCTTCCTTACTTTGTTGGAAAATATGGCGACAGGATGGGGGAGGGTGAGGAGGTGAGGTTATCTGTAAGGGGATCAATGCGTCCACCTCCTACCCTCCCACCCCTACTCCTTTTTGGAGGAATCATCTGTACATACAAGGACAGAGCAGTGGGCACTGGCTACAGAAGAGGAAAGGTGGAGAAGGCCACTCAGCTCGGAAGGCAGGCATCTGATGGTGACGTAAACCGCCTTCTCCCCACACCTGAGTGTGGCCGTCAGCGACGACTGCATTCTAACTGGTACAGGAAAGTCAACTGCGGAGGTGCACGCTGGGACGAGACACCAACGCCTTCCTCTACTCAGTATTCCAGGCGTCTCTGAGCTTGAATTTTAGAATTATTTCCAGGCATGCTTTTAATTGTCTACTGACGTGGATTTATCCACCTTGGACCCAAGACATTCAAGGCAGATACCCACACAGACACCCCAGAAGTTCCCGGCCGCACGGTCACAAGGGGCCGTGGTCCGGAACCAAACACAACCTACTCGGGTGGCACCTGTGGTTTGTTTTGGGGAAGCCGGTGAGACGTTCAGCACGTAAGTCATGAGTTCAACAACAAGGTCCTCCTGTATGGCAGGGGGAACTGTACTCAACATCTTGTAGTAACTTACGGTGAAAACAAATATATGTATGTTCATGTACAACTAAAGCACTGTGCTGTAGGCCAGAAATTGACACAACACTATAAACTGACTATGCTTCAATAAAAAATACATATAGAACAAACATTATTAGTTCGGCATGTGCTCTGCTTCTGAGCCCAGGACAGTGGGTCCCTGCCAGACGAGGCGGATCCAAAGATGAGGAAGACAGGACCCTGGCTGCAGACACCATCAGGCCCCAGGGGGGTGCCCGCCCAGCCCACCCAGGGGCTGTCACGGGGCAGGGGGGTACAGCCAGGACGCTGCTCGGAGGGGACTGCGGTCCTGAGCGGGACTGGGAGTGCAGGCAGGGGGCGGGGGTTAGGGAAAGCATTTCCAAGGCTGGGTCGGTGGGCTACGGCGTGTTTGAGGAAAACAGAGGAGCTGATACATGCTGCTGCTGATAGAACCTGCAAACCCGAGGGGCCAGGGACGGCCAGCTCACCCTATCCCCTTCTCCGACCCCAGGTTAAACAGCAGGGAAAACCTCAAAGTCCAGACCAGACATGAGGAGGATGTCATTGCAAATCAGGCGGGAAAGAATTCTGGGATAACTGACTGCTCACTGAAGAGAAAATTAAGTGAAATTCCTATTTTATGTGATAGGTAAAAATGAATTCCAAGTACTCTGAAGATCTTAATATAAAATTAAAAAGTTTAAAATTAATAGAAGGTATAAACACATTTTATAACCTTGGGATGGGAAGGCCTTCAGCGTCTCAAGAATCCCACAATCTGTAGAGGAGAACAGAGCTGGATGGAATTTCTCCCAAAAGTTCTACACTATAAAATACACTCTACTAGAGTAAAGAGCAGATGACAAGAGCTGGAGAAAAATCTAGAATATCTGAGACAAATGCTTAATCCCTATAAAGCATAAAGGACTCCTATAAATCAAGAAAAATAACCCAAAAGAAAAAAAAAAACAGAAAGGACATGGACGGATCAGTCACAGAACAAAGGAATGCGGGTACTGTCTAAGTGCACAAAACCACTGCTGGGCAAGTCATCACTGGATTTAAAGAGATTAAAGCAATCTTAAAAGCAATTTTCCCACCTTTCAGAACACCATTGTGGGGGTGGGCACCGATTCTAATTATGCTGCTGAGAGAACGGGGGAGGGGCACTGCAGGTGGGGGCTGCGGGGATAAAACCACTGGGAAGTTGATTTTGCGCCTCCACCCAAACTCAGGATGAATGTAGCCTGGGAGCTGCTTTTAGCATTCTTGAAATTCAAATCAGGCACGTCTAGGTTGACTGGGGAAATATTCGTGAATGTAAGAAAATCAAGGTAGTGAAAAAATGTCCTGGTCAGAGCAGCCTGCGGGGCTCTGCTCTGGGACCTCAGCCGTCACCTCATCTGGGCGGGATGGGGAAGGGCCTCTTCACTGCCAGATGCCCACACCCCAAATGCAGCGCGAGTCAGTAAAGGAACACTGCAAGTGTGGCTGGCTGCCAGGCCGGCGCCGAATACGACTCAATTTGGGAAATAAACTGAAGTACCACCTCCGTGGAGAAACACACAGCGGGTTCAAGCAGGTGACCTGAGGGCCTCCAGGATGACTCTCTAAGCTGGCTGAGGCCGCTGCTTTGGGCGAGACCAGCGATTCTCTCTGGGGCACCGCTGACATCTGGACTGGGTAATTCTTCCCAGGGGGCCGTCCTGTGCATTACGAGATGTTTGGAGCATCCCTGGCTTCTACTCTCAGATGCCAGCAGTATCATCTCTGCCCCCTTCCCCCACTGCCCCGGCTATGCAAACAAAAGTGCCTCCAGACTTCGCCAGTGTCCTCTGGGCGGAAAGAACCACCGCGTTCAGCAAATGGACGGTTCGTCCCACGCATGATATACTCCGTAAGGTCTGGACTCCCTGTGTCCTCAGACGGGGGGCGCACGCTGGAGGTTGGCCGGCCCCCTGGGCGCAGGGGGGTGTGCGGGGAACAGGAAGCGGCTGGTGGGGTACCCTGCACTCGCATCAGAGGCGACACAGCGCTATTTTGAGATTTCAGTAAATATTAAGGGATATACATTTTTAGGGGGGTATTTACTGAATGTTTTTTAAAAGGCTGAGAAATTGAGACAGCAAATAAGGAACAGCCCAGAAAATTATTTCCTTTCTTTACAAAACACACCTAATTATGAAACAGAGATTGAAGCACTTGGAATCTTGACTGTGACAGCACAGGACACGGGTAACATGATGGGCAGAAGTGACAACAGCCACGTGTACTGACGGCGTGGGGTGTTCCGGGTACCATCCTGGGCAATCAGTACACAAAACAAGACTCTCTGCTGTCCCTGGAGGTAAAAAAGGACTGTCTCTGTTTCATAGGGAGGAGAATAGGCTCAGAAGTGTTACGGAACTTGCTCAGGGGAAACACCACCACGCTTTCCCGCTGAATTCCCAGTAATACATTTACAATTACACAAATTCTAACGCCTCGTGATGAAGTTGATTTTGTAAAATCTCAAATATTTACTGCACTCAAAGAGGAATTCAGTGTAACACTCTCGGAGGTCAACGCACCACTTCACGCTTCATTTTAGAGGCAAAGGATGATCTGCACCGACTGCTGTGGGAACTGACCCCTCCCGGATATGTTCTGGGGGGTGACACACCCTGGTGTCAAAACGCAGCCAGCACAGGTTGCTGGGTGATCCCTCGCAGGAGGTAAAGGCACTTCACAGGCCACTGAGAACACCCGCAGAAATAGACGGTAAAAACACCAGAGAGACAAAAACTTAAGCAAAATCTGAAATGATGAACTCCGCAGAGGTTGAGGAGCTGTGAAATCCTCGTGAACTTGGCACAATTCAGCTCAGCTTACTCTGTGTGCATCTCTTTCCAAAGATCATTCTTAATTACTTTTGGTGACAGGAAGCTGCAGGAGAATGGAAGACAAATACACAGAAAAGCCTAAACTCCAACTTTAATGAGAATTTCCAACTTAATTGATGACCCGTCAGACGTGTTTACCAAGCCCTGTGCCTTTTCTGGAGCTGACTTCCTTGAAATGCCTGTTATTTACCATCTGATAAAGGTGCCAATGAGCACTGGAATGGTTTACAGTCAGAGTGAGAAGCTACAGCAAAAATACACTGCCTACTTTTCCATTATATTTTATTACAAGATATCAAATATATATATGAATGTATATGTATAACTGAATCACTCTGCTGTACACCTGAGGCTAACACTGTAAGTCAACTACACATCAATAAAAAAAAATCTGAAAAAAGAAAACACACTGCATCATTAGTACCTGAAATAATGGGGACTTTTTATTAGACTTTCTGGCAACTGTATAATCCTACTCGCTTCCAGCAAAAGGAGGACTGAAAACAGCACATCCTGTGGCCACTGGTGGCTGCTCATGTCACCCGACTTTTGGGTTATTTCTGTAATATGGGTGGACACCCTCAAACATGTCCTTTGGAGAACTCCAAAAATAAAAAAAGTCTTGCTCCAGAACAGCTCACACACAAGCACCTCCGAAGCTGTGGAATCGAAGTGGCAACACTAGGGAAGCAAAGCAGAGCAGCGGCGGGAGCCAGGAGCCAGCCCGTGCCTTCCGGGACCGCGGTGTCCGCACCAGTAGCACCACCTCGCCCTCTCAGCATCCATGAGCTGCTCCTGGAACCGCCAAGCACACGGGCTGGGCGCCAGAGCAGCTGGCCGGACAGCTCTGAACACACCTGGGTGTGCACGCCTCACACGCATGCCACCTGGGGTCCTGGTGCTGCCTCCTCCACTCGGGCGTGGGTCTCAGGGACTGAGCCATCCTTCGCCTACCGAGACTGGAAGGAGGAGCAGGTGCCGCCCAGGCACGGAGGGAGCTGAAGCCCAGCCCGGCCGCACTCGGTCGGGTACTGGCTCCTCCCCTCACCTGCTTCACACCTGTACCTCGGGGTCGGCAGCACCCGCGGTCTCGCTAACTGCCAGCACAGGAAATCACGTGTGTCACTTGGTCCAGGGACTTAATAACCAGGGGTGCTTGTTAGTGGAAATTACCCGCATTGTGCTTGTTTTCAGCAGCAGGCCACTGCGTCCAGGTGACGTTCTAGGTCCTTGCGCCCTTCCCACGCTGTACCCGTCACCCCTGTGCTGAGCTGTTAACGAGCCGCTGCTCCACCTAAACCCCGGCCAGTCGGCCTGCAAACTGAAAGCTACGTCCTGGTTACAACGTGGCATCTTCCCCTCAGAAACGAGGAGTCAGAGACGACGGGTCCTCGAGCGGCACCACGATGCTACGTTTTATGATGAGGATCAATGTCCCGCTGTTTCCTCTGTCCCGCCTGGTTGACAGCAGTGCTTTGTGTATTACCCTGCATTACCTGCGTCCTGAAATGGCTGTGACTATGCGCTATAATTACACAGGCTGAGCTGGAACGCCAAGTGCTAGTATCACGGGTTCTCTGAAAAAATCTACAGAGTGTCGTCCTCATGAGATTTTAAAAACAGCCAAATGCTTTTTCAGCAAGGCCACTGGCTCCAAACAGGACCAGAGGGTTTTGACGGCACGGTTCTCTGGGCCACAGCTTTGTCACCCCCCACCCCCATGCAGCCACAAGATAGGAGAACAGTGAGCCTCATGTGACCTCGTTCACCCATCCGACGTGCAGACAAGCAGCTGAGGCACAGGGTCCTCTGGCCAAGACTGACTCAACATCAGCCATCGGGACCTCTCACCATCTTCTCGGAGCCATCAGGTGCGATTCCAGGACAGCACTCAAAATGTCACGGCTTAAGTTCAGGCCCTGACTCTCCACTGTTCCCTGGTCCTCGTCCTCTCCAGGACCCAGGGTTCAGAACCCCAGCTCTGCCCCGAGGTCCACGTGAAAGGCAGGCTTGGTCTGGAGTCCCTGGTCCCCTCTATGCAGTCACCTCGGGAACCCTCACAGAGGCCCAGCCCTGCAGAAAGACTCCACGGAGCCCAGGGACCTGTGTGTGTACAGGTTGCCATGGTTACCACCTCCAGCCCTTCTGACCTGTGGTCTGGGAGGAAGGGGCTGTGGGGACTGGGACGTGGGCAGGGGGTGTCAACGGCACGGTCTCTGAGGTCCCTTCTGATGTAAAAGTTGTGGTCCTGTAATTTCACTTGGGGAGGAAGCTCCCCCCTGGTAGCTGAAACATGCCAAACCACACAAGACTGTTCACTATTGTAACACTTTTACTAGGTGGGAGAAGCCCTGGGGCTCCGCACATCCCTGAACGGCTGACAAAAGCAGCGTGAGGACCCGCATGGGAGATGCAGGGACACGGCAGAGGTGTGAGCCTCCCAGACAACCCATCCATCCACGGAGAGTCTAAGGAGGCAGACATGGGAGCCTCTGTTCTCTTCCGGAGTGGTTAAGATAAAACGAGGAAAAGAGGTCAGAAATGTAGGTCTTCTGGGAGCTGAGACTGCGGGGTTAGAGAGCTTAGGCTCAGCCAGATGGGCGGTCCTTCCACCCGGCCCCCTCAGCCCCTCACATCCTCGACGCGCGCTAAGCACGTCACGCTGGGCTCTCCCACCTGAAACAGGAAGGGTGCCGACTCCGATGAGCCCAGCAGTGCCCTCTCCAGCCTCAGCCTTTCCTCAAGTGCGCTCCTGTTTAGGAAAGCCAGAAACTCACTCCTGAGAAGCCAAGCGCTCCCAAGGGCACCTGTCATTTCTCACTCCTACGGCCTCCCGCCTTCTTGGCCTCGGCAGTGACAGTCTAGCAGCTTCAGCCAGGAGCACAGACCATCTCCAGCTGGTGCTAAGAACCTGCCCGGAGACTTCTTTTAAAATGCATGGCCTTTAAATTCACAGTCAACGAATTCAACTGACGTTTAATGATCAACAACTTATGTTCCATGAAGCCAAGCAGAACTCCCCTATAACTGGAACATACACTTGAGGGAAAGCCACGTTAATGTTCACCCCTACATTTTGTGCGCACTGTTACAAAATTCAAGAGGCCTCGTAAAATGTTTGCCTTCTGTCTTCTGAGTCAGAGTGAAAAAACGAATTTATCACTGCTTTGAGTGCTTACGGATACATATTTCTCCTGCCTTAGAAACACAAGACAAAACGAGATTTTTAAATGACTTGAATAAGAACAGCCAAGAGACGGGGTGCCGGCCCCGAAGTCCCCGCTGCTGTTTCGTGACCCTGGACGTGACCGGGAAGCCTACCTCCTTCTCGCTCCTCCTCCTCCAGCAGCTTCCCGATGGAATTGTACCACCTGAACTGTGGCTCGGGGACGCCGGACACGCTGCAGTTAATCAAGGCACTGTTCCCCTCCCTGACAATGACGTGGTCGGTTCTGGCGGTGACCACAGGCGCAGAGCCGGCGACCATGTCCGTGCCGTTTAAAGTGCTGTTGGCCAGGCTCTTAGCAGTTGCCAGAGTGGACACCAGGATTAGGAAGGGCACAGAAGGCAGAAAGCACACAGGCAGGAGGCTCCTCGACCCGCCCATCTTCCTCGCTGGCTCCGTGAGGCGACAGGGATGGCGGCCGGGGGTCTCCTACCGGACAACACGCTGCTCACGGCAGGCCGAGGGACCAGCCCATCCTGGAGCCATAGAGAGGGCTCTTGGTTAAGATCCTGTTAAAAAAAAATTTGACACATAAATATGAGCATTCATACTTTTAATTATTATTTATCAAACGTTGGAACCCAGCTAAAATGCAAATGTACGTAATTTTTAAACAGCTCACAAATTCAGGGGACGTTCCAGAGGACGTTCCAGACGTTCAGCTGTGTTTTTCACAGAAATCATGACAATATACTTTTGTTATTTTTGCTCCTGAAACAGACAATGCTCAGTAGGAACAGGTGGAATTTACATCACATGCCTTCAAGGGGCCCGAAGGCCGACCCAGGCTGCTTCTTTTTTTTAAGAAACGCATTTTTATTGAACTATAGTCAGTTTATAACGTTGTGTCAGTTTCTGCCGCACAGCACAAGACTGCAGTCACACAGGAACGTACACATAATCGTTTTCATGTTCTTTTTCACCATAAGTTACTGTAAGATACTGAATACAGCTCCCTGTGCTGTACAGTATACACTTGTTGTTTATTTTATACGTAGGACCCAGGCTTCTTTACTCAGCACCCCAACGCCCCTCTCCACCCGCCAGCTGTCCCCATCGTGGATGACCTGATGGTTCACCGGGGCCCCTCCAACCTCTCTGCTGGTGGACGTGACCTCTGGCTACTTCGGTGCACACGTGGGCCCGGCCACACGGGAAGGGCTCCACCAGAGTCAGCCCGGCAGCCCCCGTCCCCACGAGGGCTTCCAGGACCCTCGACTCCCCGCCAGGCACCCGCCCCGACTCCTGGAGCTTCACGGCATCCAGCTGCCCCTGCTCCCGGTGACCCTCCCCCCACCCCGGTCACTCACTGGATTCCTTGGTTTCCATCTTCGCCTGCCTCCCAGGACGCAGGGGGTGACGTGACGGGGGCTGCACTTCTTCTAGCCTCCCCCTACACCTTGAGCCTTCATCTCGTCCACTAACCACACAGCCACACCCGGGACCTTTCTTCTCTGCAAGTTCTGAATTCTGAAGTTCCAGGTCTTTCCGAAGTTCTCAACAACCATCTTTAACTGCACCCCCACCCTCTTCCAAGCCTCTTACTCCCCTCGCTGGGCCTCCCAGCCTTCCTGTTTTTTCCAGCCTTTCCCTCCTACCCTGGCTGGCACGCTCCGCTTCTGTCTCGTCTGGACCGGAGTGCACAGACCCCACACCCTGCACCCTCACTCCATGTCCTGCCTCCACACAACCATGATCAAGCCAATCCCCTGTCGTCCTGGCCCCTACACCCCAGGGGCTGGGGCACAGCCAGAGAGGATCCTCCAACCATGTCGTTACAGCAAAAATAAAGGGACGACCACCGGCCCCAGCCCAGCCCTCGGGGACCACTGGCCACCTGAGCCTCAGGTCTGGTGTCCTCTCCCCATGATGCTGACAGTCCCTTTGACTGTAGAATCAGCACCTTAGCCCAGCGGTGGTCCTACCCCATGCCCCCACTGCGGGGCGTGCAGGTGTGGGTGTGAACTCCCTGCCCATCTTCCTGCCCCGTGGGAGGCACTCTGCATCTTCTCACCTCCACGTGCTCTGCACTTTGCCTGCTCCTCCCTGAAGCAGCTCTCCTGTCCCGGGTCACTCCCAGCTGCCAAGGGCTCAGTCTCTCTCTTACTAAATCTGTAGCAAATGCCACCATCAGCTGTGGTTCCCGCCACTTCCCCCTTCCGTGGCTTCTACCCTCCCCCCTGCCACTGTTCTTTATCAGTTGCCGTCTTCTCCCCAGTCCTGCAGGTCAGCAACCCTGAGGGGGTCATCTTTCCACCCTCAGCCTTTCCAAAGTTCCGTCCCCCCGCCTTCACCGCCACCTACGACCTAGTAACTCAAGTCCACATCCTCAGTCCCGACTCTTCCCTGCACTGCAGACAAGTAGCACCAACTGCCCTCTGGACATCTTCACCAGGGTGCTGGGCGGGGAACTCACATCAAACGTCTCCAGACCGAACTCACCTAACCCGCTAACCAAGCCATGTGTCCGGGATCCTCGACTGTGGTGGGCACGGCCCTCAATTCCACGGCTGCCCTCACCCCTCAGTAATTTCATGGTGTCAATTCCACCTCTTAAATGCTGCTCGGGCTGTTCCCTCCTTTCTGGGCCCCCTCTCTGAGCCTGGGTTTGGACCTGTCTCCTCACCAGAAATGGTGAAGGAGCCTCCGGTGGGATCTGCCCGCCTCCAGCCTCTCCCCAGGTCCCAACACCGTCCCTGTAACCACCCGACAACACGCATCACATGTGGACATCTCTTTACTGAGCACTTCTGAGTCCCTGCACTGAGACTTTGTAGCCTCTGAGTTCCTCAACCTTCTCACTCCCTCAGAAGTGAGTCCTGAAGATAAGCAAGGTCCTGCTGTGCAGCGCAGGGAACTACATTCAGTGTCCTGCAATAACCTAGAATGGGAAAGGATGTGAAAACAAATGTACATATGTAAATGCACGACTGGGACATTAAGCCTACATCAGACATAACTGATGTGTTGTAACTGACTGTACTTCAGAGAAAAAGTCCTGAACACCTACTCTGGGCAGACAATATTCTAGGTCCCAGAGAGAGATGGCAAGACAGATCTTTTGTGTTATACGGAGATTATATTCTCACGGGAACAGCCGACAATAAGTACGAACCACGTAAATGAGAACTTCTGCTCACGATGCATGCTTTGGAAAGCGCACTCCGATGCACTCGAACACTGAGTTAGGTAATCAGGGAGAACTTCCCTGAGGAGGTGGCCCTGGAGCCGGGGCCTCTTTGGGAATCAGCCACACCTAGACCTGGGAGAAAAGCATTCCGGGAAGAAGGAACAACAAAAGCAAACAGGGTGTTGCAAGATGGCTCAGAGACATAGACAAGATCACAGAGGGCTTTTGAGGACAGAGTATGGAATCTGGATTTTATCTGATATTCACTGGAAAATTTTAAGCATGGGAGTGACAAGATCTGATTTCTCTTTTAAAATCAACTTTACTGTGGTATAATTTACAAATTAAGAAAACCATCCATTTCAAGGATGTATGTAAGTACATGAATGACTGGGGGACACTGTGCTGTACACCAGAAACTGGCACATTGTAATTGACTATATGTCAGTTTCAAAAAAGAGAAAGAAAAATATCCATTTCAGGTATGCATCTCAATAGGTTTTGACAAATTTATACACCCATGTAACCACAACAGTAAACAAGATAGAGAATGTTTCCATCACGACCACAAGTTCCCTGTGTTCCTCCCATTTTAGCTTTCACACGGATACATCTGGCTATTTCTGTGTGTGGCTGAGGGAGGGACCAAGGCTCATCTTCCCCCCATGTGGATATCCAGTCATTTCAGCGCCGTCTGTAGGAAGGACCACACTTCCTCCAATGGCTTATCTTGCCCTCTTGTCAAAAACAGTGAGTCTACTTGTAAACCTCACTCTGTCCCACGTATGCAGCCAACACCATCCTGCCCGTGCCGTCTGCCTCATCTGTCTGTGTGTCTGAAGTCACCCATACACTTTAGATGCCCAGTGAACTGCTGAACGGATGGCCCTCTCTCCGAAAGCAGCAATTATTAGGCCAGCTCTGTGGACAATGACACAGAAGAGGTACTCGAGGTGATGAATCTGCTTCAGACTACAGACTTCCTCGGCAGGAAAGGTAAGAGTTTCCTTGGAGCCACAGATTTCCCTGCTCCTGGTGGACTGTGGTGCCTTTCTGCCCAGGACAGTCTCCCGGGACTGGCCAGCAGGAGCCGCGGGGCTGGAGACAGCTCAGCCCTGCACGACTATGCCGATGCTTCCTTTACTTGGCTCATCTCATGGTTTCCTTTTGCAGGGAGTTGGATACAGAATGCCTAAGAGCATGGCCTCAGGTTTCAGAGAGACAGGGCCAGCATTCTGGGTCTGACCACCCTTACGGCCTGGCCTGGGTGTTTGTGGCCCAGCACTTGCCAGGTAAGGATGATCACAAGGATTCACGATCAAGGGTGCACAAAGCACGTACGTGTTACTCAGCTTGAAAAATAAGTTACTGATGCAGCACATAGCACATTGTTTACTGAAATTACACTTCTGGGTTCAATCCCCAGTACCTCCATCAAAAAGATAAGCAAATAAACCTAACTACCTCATTTTAAAAAAAAAGAAAGAAAGAAAGAGAAGAGTAACTCCCGGGGGAGGGGCCAGAAGACTGTGGAGACATCACGTCCCTTTGGACACCGGGGAAACGTCCCACCAATGGGCTTGGCGCAGCCCGGCCGACTTTGCAGACGGCATCCTGAAAAGTTCAGTCAGTAACACTGGAACGCTGGGAGAGACACTTCAGCCACAAAGAATTAACCACGAGGACTATAATCCAGCAGCTTAACATGCAGTCCTTCAAAATACAACAAAGGCCACAGATCCCCAAACCCGGGCTCAACAGAACAGCCACAATGGGAGGATTGTTAAGGTCCACGCGTTTGCTCAGGGCCTTTGGGAAAACCTTCATAGAATCCTTGATTTTTTATAAATGGAACAAAAGAGAAAACACTTAGCAAACACCACAGGTCCTTTCTTTAACTCGACCCCTTCCTGCCTTCCCACCAACTGCATTTTATCTAAAAGCATTTAAACACCATGCCTGGTGGAGTCTTATCTGCTGGCTCCTCACCTGTAACAGAACATGACCACTGGCCGTGCATTTCTGGAGCTGGGAGGAAAAGGGCCTCTTGTTTCAGGGTGTTTTGAACCAGATGAATGTTCGTGCTTGTTCTTTCTTGGCAGTGGACATGCTGGTATTTCCCCATCAGCTGTGCTGGATAATTTCATACCCACAACAACTGATTTTGTCACAACATCTACTGAGAGTCACCACTACTTTTTCATTTGTGCATAAATGATGCCTTGGGCCCTGAAGCTGCCTTTTAGATCAAGACACGTCCCTGACAGGTCCCAACTCCTGAGACCTGGCAGGAACCCCCAGCATCCCGTGCAGTGAGAGGCGCTGGGGCAGCCACTCTGTCACAGATGCCACTGTGCAAGGCGGGGAGCTGGCCGGGGCCACCTCAGCTCCAGACAGCTTTCTGCGCCTTCTCTCACGCTCCCTCTTAAGCATTATAATCAATGAAAACCTACCGCCCATGCTCGCCATTTTTAAAAACAGGGTTTCAAAGTCATTTTCTTCTGCAATTTTAAAGAAAAATTCCAACAAAATTCCCACCGGTCCATTCTTTCTCCCGTAATTTGAGATTTCAGGTAGTTACGGGGATGTCTGAATATGACCCACCGGAATCCAAAGCCAAACATCAGGAACTGTGTGGAGTAAGGGCAGCAAGTCCCCGCGGTGACTTCCACCGCCCAGGGGCACATCATTCATGTTCTAAGTCAGCTCGGTTTTGTCTCCGCGCCCAAAGCCCCGTGACAGAGGGAGGCTCGCGCGGTCCTTCTGTTTTCCCCTGAACATGTCCGAGGATCTGTTTGTGGAGGATTCTCATCACACAGAGGTAGTTCCTAACTCAGATGGCAGACACGACGGCTCCACAAAGGATGAAGTGCACCCTGCTCAGGTCACCCTGGACACACCCGGAGAGACCAACCCCAGTCAGTGCCGGTACCTGAGGAGCCCAGGGTGCCAGGCACGTGCCGGGGGTGTGGGCACACCGGTCAGACATGGGCCTCACCTGCCATCCCAGAATCTGCAAGGTGGCAGACAAAGTAAGTCCACAATTACAAGGCGGGGGGCAGCTCCCCCATCAGAGGGCCCGGCGGCCGCCGCGGCACCACACAGGAGCCCCAAGCGGTCCGAGGTTGTAAGCTCTGCTATTTCATTGATGAAGCTAAGGCACTGCCTTTTCAAAAACAGGTCTGTTTTAAAGCAGTTTCTCAAACCTAAAAGTGAACATCTTCCCCCGAGATGCCACCTCTGGGACACTTCATTTCTGATGGGGTATAATACTGAGAAACCATTCTTGCACATCCACCCTATTTTTTCCACCTGGTATGTTTTTCTGATTAAAAGTAAGAATCCTATCGACTAAAGCTCCCACAAATAGTATGTTTAAAAAAGGAGGACGAGAAAAAGCACCGCATCACAGGCTTTCCTCTCCAGGCACCACGGCCGTGATCCCGCAGGATGAAGACACACTCGCTCACAGGACAAGAGCAGCGTGAGATCTGGAGAAACCTGTGCATCTTTCCTCAAAGGTGTTCTGTTGGTTTTTTATACCAGATCAGAAAGGAGGCCAAAGAAGGTACGTGACGGCCCAGGGCCACAGAACCTCAGAACCAGGCTCACGCCCACATCAGGCCCAACGTTACGGGAACGCCTCTTGGTGCCACGGAGGCTCCAGCACCCAAGTCTTGTGAGGAGGGCTATTCCAATCACAGGCGCATCTTTCAGAAGACTTTATTGATGTTTTTGTGTGTATTTAACTTCTTCCAATTCTCATTCTAAGTGGACAGGCTAAAACAGTCTGGGGCCCAATTACTGTAAATCCGTCACTGATCGGAGACGTATTTCCTCGAAATCTGACAGTCCAGGGAATAAACCAAACCTAGGAACTGAATACAAACAGGACGATACACTGGTGGACGGGGCCTTCGTGCTACCAAACCAGCTCCCGATCAGGTGACAATGCAGACTAGAGGGTGAGGACGCCGGGGGGGCCTTCCCTCTCATCTCTGATGCGTGACCAGTAGACTCTGCACTGGACCCAGAGCAGGCCCAGCGGCACCTCGAGCTGCTCCGTCCTTCTCTGCCCGTCTCTACCACAAGGTTTTTTCTTTCTCAGCATCTACCCTGCTTTAAAAAAAAAGTGTCCTTTCAAAAACATTCTCCCTACTCTTTGGAGTATGTATACAGGGAGAGTCAGATTGTCATTCTGGGCCAATTAATTTCTGTTTCTGGCTCATCCACTTCAGCCAACCTTCAATTCTTGTGGTTTTAGTTTCATCACAAGCCCACTGCTCGAGATGTTCTGCATGTGCTTCATACACAAAACTAACTTTAGCATATAAACCAAGACTTCCTTAGAACCTGGTCTCAGAACACAGCTTCCCTTGCAGGGAGAGGAGGGGGCCTCCCTACACTGCTTGGGAGCAGAGGCTGTGGGGTCTGGCCCATCCATCAGGGGACTCGGGCTGGGCAGGGGAGGAGGGTTCAGGGGACTCCGTCCTACGCCTGAAATACAGGGTTTAGGGGACTGCAGAAATGAAATTTAATTTCTATTTCAAAAATCAAAACCATCGTCCCTTGCTCCTTGTCTCCCTGGTGTCTGATTAAGGCCATTCAGAGCCACAGTAGAGGAACTGGCCCACCCGGGGTTTCTTCTTTCATCAGAATAAAAATCTGATTTATGGTCCACGAGACACACCCACAGACGTCATCCCATCTGAGCTTCGCCAGGACCCCACGGCGCGGGGAAGGCCTGGTGTTCTGTTCACACTGACAGTGAAAGAGGCAGAGACCAACCCCTGTGGATGCCCCTCTAGAACCTCGTCTCCTGACCTCACCCGAGGGCTCCTGTCACCTGCCCACGGTGTCCACTCCCAGGACAACCTCACTAAATGCCATTAACATCCAAACTGTCAGAATGATCATTTTAAAACATTGTGATTACTTATTTTTACCATTATTATTATTTAAAATTTTGTACATGGAGCAGTACTTTTCGAAGTCTGGCTGGACCTGAATAACCGTTCGGCTGACTGTACTGCATGCATCCTAAGGTCAATCTTCTCCAAAAGGTGTTTCAGTGTGCCACTAGGGAAAATTACCTCAACTACACACCAGAAGAAAGCTGGAAGCGTGGATTCAGTGGTTTCCCCCCAGAATCTCTGAAACAGGCTTTGCTTCCTCTCAGCTTTGATGGGAGAAGGCCCTGCAGGCTGACTGGCTTCTCAGCTGGGTAGTCAGCCTCACGTGGGCCATAAAAACAACCAGGATGGGTCAGCTCAATGAAGCTGAACTCAAAGCACTTCCGAGGCCACCAGTATCAGTTTGGTTCCAACTGCGGTGGCTCTTTAAAAAAATTTTTAAGACTAGGTCTTTACCCTAAAGACGTTTACAATCTCGGTGATACCTGCAAACAAACAATATGCAATTAAGCACTAAACTGGGTAAATACTGCAGAAATTCACAGGGCCAGCTGGGAAGGTCACAGAATGTTCCCTGGGGCTGGCCAAGTCCTGAAGGGTGAATAAAGGAGACGGGACAGTTTTCCCAGCGGGAGGAAAGGCTCAGTTTAGCAAGCAGGGGTGGAAATCAACACAGCCCGCCAATTTAAAATAAAAATCTACGTGTTTTTTACAGCGTGTTTCAGCAAGACTCATGTAGAGGATCTGCTGTGCCTGCCCAGCTGGAGAATGCTGCTTGTCAGGGCCCTCCTCCAGAAGTTCTATTTAGATGGCCTCAGCGGCTTCTTAGGGCACATGACCAAGAGGACTTTGAGACAGACAATCCATCACCCCGGGGAAAGGAGGGGAGATGCCAAAACCTGGAGGAAGGGACGGGATGCCCGACGAAGGCAGGAGGGAGTGCAAAGTCCACTATGGGTCCTGGGGTCAGACGGACAGGGAGAAATGCCTGGTCCCCAGGGAAGCAGGGAACTGGTAGTACTCTGATGCTTTCTGGAAATTAATTTCAAGTTTCTCAAGTGTTTTAAAATGGAGAAAACCAGGCTACCTTTGGGAAGTCTAACAAGAGGTAGACTCACTCAGAGGCCAAGTCATCTGAGGCTATCCAAACCCTGAAGGTCCGAGACTTTCCCTCTAGCAAAGCCATAATGGGCAAAGCAGGCCAGCCCTGGCTTTAGTAGAAAAGCAGAAATTTACAAGATAAAGTTAACAACAGCATCGGGGACCCAAGAAAGTTCAAGGCTTCCTGGCAGTTTAAGCCACCCCACTGCCACCCTGGGGTGTGAAGACCCAGAAGAAATCCTGGGTGAGGCTTGGAGCCAAACACTTATGCAGCCTTCATCCAAACACCTTCTCCTGCCGAGGTGAGGTGGGCTCTGCGTCCTTAAGAAGGCATGGTCACTGTACACCCTCCTGCCTCTTCACCAGGCAGCCCAGCTTCTCGGAAGAGAGGAGCTCACTGGCCAACCTGGGATGGTCCCCGCTGCCACAAACAGGGCTCTCGCTCGATTTGGGAGGGTACAGAAGGGCACAGATGTGGGAACAGAGGCGTGCCATCTGGTCCCCTAACAGTGAACCCCCAGCCTGCCATCTCCAGCCCTGTCAACAAGTGATTCCTTCAATCCACTCATCTTTTAAAGGAGGAAACCCTTCCCTTACACTCTTCCTTGAACTATCAGCCAACTCAAATCCTCAATGGAAGGAAAGGTTTGGGCTGATATTTAAATATCCTCTTTAAGCTTTCTCTTTCCCACTGATCAGAGAGACAACTTCAGTACAGCCTCTAAAAGAGCTACCTACCCTCTAAATCCAGAGTTAGGAAGTCCAACCCACACTGATTTCCTTCCAGTCCCACTGGCCCCAAACTTCTGTCCAGAAGCTGGACAAGCGGCAGGGAATTAATCCCTTCTTTCCTTCCTCCACCCTTTCCTACCAAGTCTGTGCACTTCTGACTTCTTCCCTCACACACAGCCCTGCGTACGGGCTGTCCCGCTCCTCCTGGCCTCAGGTCCCCCTGGTTAAGCACATGGTGGTGAAGTTGGTCTCTCTGGTCCTGCAATGACCTGCGTTCTGTAGAAAGGCCCCTGAGAGCTGCCTGCAATCTCTCGAGAAGGCACCACCCTACTCCTGATGTCACACACCTGATGGACGGTCCAACTGTGTGGAGTTCGGATGCCTCCTTTCCCGCATGGCTGCCACGTCCAGGTTTGTTCCGGTTCAAGCGCTCATCCCCCTAATATCACGCTGATGGGCCCAGTCCTGGCTGACCTGCCCCCAACCCACACACTGTGCTGTTGCTGAAGTGGGCTGACGCTGAGAGACGTGATTTACACGTAGTCCATGTGCTCATGGACTTGGTAAAACTGAAGCTGGCAGCAACGCATGCATGACCCTTCATGCCCTGACTCCCACCCCGTCTCTGACCTCATCCCTGGAGCTCCCTCACCCCTCTGCCTCCCATACCTTCCCCCAGCCCCTGGAGCTGCCTCGGCACCTCTGTGCTCCGGCCGCACTGCCGTCCATAACCTCACACATCCGCCAAACCCCTACTTCGCCTTCAAGTCTTGGTTCAAAGCCAGACAGGGCTCTCCAGGTAGCCGAGACACTCCTTTTCTCGCTGATCTTCACCCAGAACTTCACACATCTGACCCTCCACTAGATTGTAAGCTCTCAGGTTATCAATGTTTGTTGAATGAATCAATGAGTTAGCGAATGAACAGATGTGCGAGGCTTATCTGAACATCCAGATTTGGAGACACTGGCGTGTGGGTGACTGATGCAGGCATGAGGAAAAATAAATCACCCAGACGGAACACAGCAGGTCACATGATGAGAAGACAAGGTGGGAATCCAGGGAAGGAAGGACGAACCAGAGACCAAGGGGCACGTATCCCAGAGACTGAGGGCGGGGAGGCTCAAGACACACAGGGCCGTGTACACTGAGCTTGTCCTTTAGGGAGGAAAACAGTAATTACTACATCACTATCTATGGAAGTCTGGGTAAAAATCTTTCAAAGTTATGCAAATGGAAGCGACCCAGTATGGTTTTACAGTTCTACTGTCACCAAGACAAGTTGTAATCAAGTCTTAACTGCTGTTCCCAGCATGGGATTTTGCCAGGCCAGGGCTTCCTTTACCATGTCGTCTGAAAAACCCGTTTTCTCTTCCTGATTTTTCGTGCACATAGTTCAGTTTAGTGTGGAGCCACTCTCAAAATACTAAGGTAGAAGATTTCTTCAGATGAGGTTTTCCAGACACACAGAGAGGTCAATTCAACTAGACAGTGTGTTTCTACATGACAGATATTAAGCCCTTGTACCTAAAAGAAGCTTTCCAAAAAAAATAGATTTGGAAAGAATGATTGAATATCTTATATTTAAACCAGCAAGCCAGAGCACCTAGCCTCACAGCTGTCACCCACCCCCCAGCAAACATGGAGCCCAGGGCAGACACTGCTGATGGGTTGTGGCGGTTTCTCCGCGGAGCCCGTGTAAGCCCACAGCCCGGCCAGCGGCTCCTACCCGCCGGGCAGAGCTGGCTGGCCCAGGTGACAGGGCATCCTTCTCAAGGAAACTATGTTAAACCGAGCCTTCCCACGGTCCCTGCCCACGTCTGCACGGCGTGTACCCAGCATAGCAGCCGCCTGCTAAGAGGACAACAAGCAGACACAAAGTAGCCCAATGTGACTTCGCTGCTCTGCTTTGTGTCCTTCTCCCATCACAGACCGTGACTAAGTCTTCTCAAGCTCTTAATTTCACACGTGCACACTTCGCTTCAGATCAACGGCGAGGACTGGACTGCGTGACATGCTGGTCCCGCCCACCTCTGACCATCCCTGGTTAGCCAGCCTTGTCAAATGGCCCTGGGAAACACGGGGTTCAGCTGTAGATTGCTTTTTCATCAGGAAGATAAAACCGGCAACCATTTGCTCATCACGTGCTCCTGTTTGAAAACCCTTAGCTGCTTCCCCATTGTTTATCTGTAATAAGATGAAATCCAAACTCCTCTGCACGACCAGGAATGGACGGCTTCATCCCCTTCTCCTGCCCAGCCCCTGACCCCGCCACACCAAACCTTCCCTCCCGTGTGGTCGGATGGGCTTCCCCTCCTCCTCTCTAAGGCACCAAGTCACAAACATAGCGACAAAACACAATTATCCTTCCATCCCGCGGATTACAAGTTCACGTGGGTCGTGATGGGCTGACTGAGGAGGTCGCAGGGCTGTGCTCGATCGGAGCGTGTTTCCTGGTCTTTTCCAGCTTCCAGAGGCTGCCCCCCGTCCTTGGTCCAGGGCCCCTTCCACCCTCAGGGCCAGCAATGGCCAAGGAGTCTTCCCCACACACGCCTGACCTCTGCTTTCCTCTTTCACTTGGAAGGGCTCTTGCAGTGACACTGGGCCCAGTGGGTAATCCAGAATAATCTCTCCA